TGGGTCTGCCATGCTCCAGGTAGAGCAAGGGTAGGAAAGGTCCCTGCTCTTCTGCCTCATGAAGCCCTGTGGCCTGGGGTGTAGCCTCTCTGAGCCTCAGGGGTAGGACTGGGGGTTGATGCTGGTCAGCACAGCAAGCCCAAAACTCTACTGGCAGAAAGGATCTCAAACAGCAGATGTGCAAGAAGCTGATGTGCGGAACAGAGGTGGAGCAACAGAGCCCTGCACAGCCCACAGGATGGGGCTGGCTTGTGGCCTAGGTATTTTGGGGACTAGATAAGCCACTCCCTCCTGAGACTCAGTGTCCTTTCTGTAAAAGCAGGACCAGTGCATGCAACCTTTCTCCCTGCAGGCCCTGGTAGACACTCAGGAAGTAAAGTAGCTTCATCTCGTTTCATCAAATAGTATCCCGAGGTCCAGAACCTGGGGTCCCTCCCTGGGGTGAACGTGTCCTATGCCCTGTCCCCACATACTCTCATGCCACCATCCACAGACCCAGCCTCCCCACCCCCAGGAGAGGGCTCCCAAAGGCAGTGTCTATCCATGGAGAGAAAGGGGATGGTATTTTCCAGAACACTTGTTCAACACCAGACCCTGTGCATGGCTCTTTGCACATGCCTTGTTAACCACCCCCCACCAGGGCTCCCAATGGAGGGGACATAACTTACAGCCTTAGGCTCCAGGGCAACAAGGGGCCATAGGACAGGCCAAGAGGCAGCAAAGTTCCAGCATGACTCTAGGGTTAAGGGGTAGCAGGACCAGCCTGGGCCCATGAAGCTCTGCTGGGGCAGGTGGAAGGGTGGCCTGCGCCTTAGGCTAGCACGCTTCCTGGTGCCCTGGGCACCTGTGAGAAGCCATCATCTGTGGAGGAGGCAGAGCCAGGAGCCAGGAGGCAGTGCGGTGCAGACTTCAAAGCTGTTAGCGCTCTGGGTGGCGCCTGCGTGTTTACACTTGGTTGAGTTCAGGCCACAGGCTGCTGTGGCCCAGCCCTTGGGCCTTCCCGACCGGCGCCAGAGCTGCCTGGCCTGCACTGGTTGGCATGACTAGCCTGATTCCCACGTGGGGCAGTGTCTTGTTACCATCCAGCCAAGAACCAGGCACCTATGCCATGCAGAGGGTACAAGTTAACAGCAATGATGACACCGTTTACCAAGGGTCCATTCAGAGACAGGAACTGCCCTTGCTGTCTACACTTCTGTTCCTCTTCCCTATTCCACCCCATGGGAGAGCAGAGGTCCCCAGCTTCCTTGAAAAGTAGGTAATGGTCTCTTCTCCTTCAGCCAGGTCTCAGCCAGCATCTGCCATCCCATCTTCCTGCCTATTCTCTGACATGCCCTGGGTCCCTATCCCAGCCAGAAGCAGGACAGTGGCCATGTGCTACATATGCTTTTCATCTGCGCCCAACTAGAGATGAGGGTTGAAAGAAGCCTCCACAGGAAGAGCTGGTAGGGCTAACTTCTAAAAAGTGAGGTAGATAGAGCCAGGAATGCTGCCAGGGGCATGAGGCTGAAGAGATGGGTGAGAGGGGAGGCAGATGGGGTGAGAGGAGGATACGCCAGGTATGCAAGCAGGCAGAGGGATGTCAGGGACCCCAGTAAACACTGCAGGCATTTCCTGTCCAGGCGCCCACCTCTTGTGCTCACACTAGTGCTGAGGAAGATGTAGCTGTCACAGATGGAGAAACATGGCCCCACTGAAGGAGCAACTGCCAGGCTCCAAACCCTACAATAAACCAAGCCTCCAGGGCCAGGGAGAGCTGGGGGCTGTAGAAGGGCAGCTTCTGTGAGCCCCTCTGCCTGTCCCACGCACCCCTGTGGCAAGATTAAGGGCCTGGCCAGGGTCAAGCCTGCCCTGGCCAGCTTTTGCTGTCTTTCCCCATCACTTGGGGCCAGGAGCCATTTGGTCACATGTTCTAGAAGCAGCCTTGGCCTGGAGTGTCACCCTCTCCTTTCCTGCCTGCCCCAAGCATCTGACAGTGAACCTTCCAGCACCTCTTTGGGCCTTGCACTGAGCAGCCTACTTCCTCCGGCCAGGGTGGACATTACCTCCTCTCCTAACCCCACATCCTTTCATGGCCCTCTGAAAGAGACCCTTGGCCCTGAGCTCACCAGAGCAACAGCACGTGGCTAGAACACCAGGGATCCTCCTAAGGACACGGCCCATGGCTTCCGCCCTGCTTTTCATATGCCATTTAAGGCCTCGTCATTTTTGCCAGGCCTTTACAAATCTAGAGTATTATTTATCTAACATTTTTCTTCACATACACCAAAGAGGGAAAGTTTACACGGAACACTAATGAGAAAAGAAGAATTTCTAGCTATAAGGGAAGTTAATGTAAAAGTACACAAAACAAAACAAAACAGAAAAACTGGTTCCTAGTCAGCATTATTGCTATTGGAGGATATGAGTCCTGGCCCTGTTCTCTTTTTCTTGAAAAGCAGGAAATGCAGGAGTTTCATACACCTGCCAACCAACCTAAGACTTTCCTGTGATGTGATGTAATCAAAGTATGGAAAGAAATTGAAAAAAGAGAAAAAAGTTATTATGAAAGAGTTCAAGAATATGTGAGAGTATGAGAATCTGCTATAATCACCTGAAGAAGAATGTATTCTTTGGTAATTTCTAAGCAGTGAAGATATGAAAAAATATATATGTAACTGCACTGAGAGTTATCTCTACATATCTGTCTAGAAATTCTTCATGTCTAATCTTAAATGTTTCATGATTTTTACTTTTAAAAAGCTATTAGGGCTTTCCCTATAGTCACAAGTTCAACTATAGTCTTAAATCCTATGAGGGCAGAGATTCTGTCTTTTTTATTCAGTGTGATTTCCCCAGCCCTTAAAAACAACACATTGTAGATATTTCACTTTTTTTCTGTGACACTTGGGATTAAATCTGTGGGAATTCTTTCACTAAGCTATACCCAGAGCTCTTTATTTTGAGATGAGGTCTCAGTAAGTTCCCAGAGCTGGCCATAAACCTGCATCTTCCTACCTTGACCTTTAGAGTAGCGGGATTACAAGTAGGTGCCACTTCACTTGGCTCTGCAAATATTTTTTGGATAATGATTAAATGCTCCACAGACATACATAAAATGTATGCTCTATTCAAGGATGTTAAGGGTTATACTAAAGCTCAAGCTTATTATTTTTATGATGCCTGTTTATCCTTATCTAATAGTCTGCCTCAGGAATGTATATTCTAAAGTGCTTTGCAGTAATCATAATTCTATTTTTTAAATCAAGTTCCTTGGGCTTTCACGTTTGTGCATACAGGTTTATAACTGCCTCTGTCACTATGTGATGTCCCTCTTTACTATGGTCAGAATTTTTAATGTTAAGTGCCCCCTAATCTGATTTTAACATGATTCATGCTTTCTTTGTGTTTATAGTCATTTGAAATCCTTTTGTCCATCTTTTTATTCTAAACATTTGCTCTTTACTGTAAGTGGGTCTGTTACAAATAACATATACAGTGGACCCTCAAGTTATGACCTGCTTCAATGAACAATCTGGGTTATGACTGGAATTTTAGGTTTAACTTACAACCAAAGTCTTGAGTTATGACCCAAATGCTGGGCACTTGTGCAGTTGTAAACAAAGACTTGCAAGGCCAGAAAAGCATTTGTAAGCACACACATCAGTCTGAGTCCAGATGTGAGTATTTGTGGATGTGGTTTTGGTCAGTGCTTTATACAACTACTACAATTACTGCTATCAAAATGGCCCCCCAAAAGCTAGAAAAGAACCTTTAAAAAGTTAAGAAGCTAAGGAAAGACAGAAACAGACAACCTCAGTTTTTAGTTCTAAAAAGGCTGAACCCTAGTGAGCCAGCTTCTTGATGTTCTTTTGGAAGGGGACTCTTCTTCCAAACAACCACCACCTTCCATTTCATCCTCTCTTCCTGCAAGCCAAAGATGTCAATGAATGGGAGTAAAGATTGAAATTGTTTCTGGTAAACTAGATACATTTTATAACTTTTTGTGAATATACTAGGAAAATTACTGGTGTTTCTGATAAATAATACACATTATAAAACTCTTCTTTATTATGTAAAGGTTAGTAAAAGGGTTCTTTGGGAGGTTCAAAATGCATTATAAGTATTTCCATTACTTCTCATGGGAAAAATAGTCTCGTTTTACAATTAACTTGAATTACAACCAATTTCTTCCCTCATGAAGGAAGGAATTGAGTTCGTAAGTCAAGGGTCCACTATAAGGAGATTTTGTTTCAAACCAAACTATCAATCTCTGTATTTAAACAGTAGAACGTGGCCACTCATATTTAGTGTAATGAGTGACAGTTAATTTTGCTGTGTTTTTGTTACTACTTACTAACATTGTTCCTATTTTCTTTTCTTTTTTTTTTTTTTGTCTTTTTCCTTTTTATTGGTACCAGGGATCGAACTTGCAAGGCAGGCGCTTATGCCGCTGAGCTAAATCTCCAGCCCCTATTTTCCTTATTTTTAATGGTTAAATTTATTCCAGCTTTTTCTCTGTGAATGTGAAAGTTCTACACTGCTGCTGTTCAGTTACTCTGTTCAAAATCAGACACAGTAATTCTATCTTTTTACTTTTTTTCCCTTTTTTCACTGGGGGGTCTGGTTTTCTGAGGCTGGGTCTTGCTATGTAGCCCAGGGTGGCCTCAAACTCTTGTCTTGGCCAGTCAAGTGCTGGGGTTATAGGGTGTGCCTCTCTCTTTTTACTTTAAACAACACAATACCAACTATCTCCCTCACTAGCAGATGCTATATTCTTTCCCCCACCTCTCCCCAAGAAGACCAGCTCTTTCAAACACCCTCATTTCCTCCTTCTCTCCCTTGGATGTCTTTACCAACATAAGTCCCCTAACCCATGATCCCACTTCTGAGGTACTTGAAGCTGTAGATGATGATCAGAATTTTCCTTGAGGGATACTCATCCTATTTCAAGAATCTCATTCACTATTTAAACCCAGGGTCAAAGGACAATAGTAAGGGGGTCCAATTCTGTCTGCTACCTGGTTTTGTATGGCTTCTGAGCTAAGAATGATCCTCAGATGTTGAAAAACGGCTTTTAAAAAGAGAACTTCATGGAGCTGGAGGTTTAGCTCAGCGGCATAAGCGCCTGCCTTGCAAGCAGGCCGTCGTGAGTTCAATCCCTGGTACCGATAAAAAGGAAGAAAGACAAAAAAAAAAAAAAGAGTACTTCATAACATGTAAAAATGATATGACATTCAAATATTAGTATTCATAAAAACATTTTACTGGACAGTGCCATATATATGTACTGTCTGGGTTTCTTTTGTGCACAGTAGCATAGCTGAGTGGTGGAGACAGAGAGGGAGGGAGGAGCATGGTGACTGTGAGCCTCAGCAATGCAGTTTAATTCCACAGTGTCTTGCCCAAGTGCAGCGCTGTATTTCATCACCAGTGCATACCTGTCATGTCCAAAGTAAGGGAAAGATCAGGGAACTTCCAACATCACACTCTCAAGGTTCAGTAGGGTGTGGATTCCAGTTTTAGAGACTCACTACGCAATGTTATTAGCTGAGCTAATAAGATACAGCATACACTGACACTGCAATATTCCCATATCACAGAAATACAATGATCAGAAAAATGAGAAAATTTAAAACATTATGTTTATCATTGCAGACAGAAAATTTAAAACTGAGAATGGAGCTGCGACCCAAGTAAGTTTCTGAGTAGTTCATTTGTTGGCTGAGCAAGGAAAGCCATTACCAGGGCAAGTTAATTAAATTGTATTTGATTGCAGCACTTGGAAAAACTATCTAGAAAAAATAAGCTTGTTGAAGATTATTAGATTTGGGGCAAGAACAGTCAGTTTCACAGGCATAGCCCACGGACCATCATCTGGTCTGCCAGTGAGTCTGGCCGCGTCAGCTGCCATGGCGTGAGCAGGCAATACAGGGCACAGGACCTGGAGGGTGCCACAGGGGCTGGAGAGGTCCCCATGCTAAGTGTTGTCCTGAGCCACGTATATTACAGCACTCTGTTCTTTCCTTTCTAGATATCATTATATCAGAAGCCACAACTTACGGTTCATTATTGGCTTCTCCTGTGAGCATAAGAAATTTGTCCCTCTTGTATGCTCAGTGCCTGGCATGAACCAGGAATTTAGTAATCACCTGATGACGAGTGAATGGAGCCTTTTTCAGGAAACAAGACAGAAGGCCTTGTGCCTAGGCCCACCCCAGGTGTACCTTCCTTCATCATGAATTGATAGCTCAAGGCACAGGGCGGAGGTGCCCAGAGAGCCAGCCATGCCCACAGAGCATAGTAGGCTGGGAACTGCTGGTGTGCAGCACAACCTGGCCTCCTAGACACCTCTCTGCACACAGGTGTGCCCAGGGAGCTGGCGGGGGGCAGGCATGGTGCCACCAGGACCTTCTCGAGACACCATGCACACCATTAAAGCCACTCACAGCGCCCGCCTCCCATTCAGCCCTGCCCACTCTCAGCAGTCCTCGGTGGTCCTGACAGTCCCTGTGTCTTTCTGGGATAATGAAGCCCCTCAAAAGGAGCTCAAAGTGTCAGAATTTACTATTTTGACCCTTAAGAGTTTAAAAATTGGTAATAACAGATTTAAGCATGTAATAGGAACCAAATATGGTTCTTGGGCCCTTATTTCCAAGCCCATTTCACCTTCACCCAACCCCACAGTGCAGTTCAGAAAAGCAGGTCCAAGAGCAGTGAGCTCACAACCTGCCCCAGTTTCCTGGGAGAGCTGGGTAAGGACCAGGCCCCAACGTGCACATTTGACCCAGTTGGCCACGCTGACCTGCAGCTCTCTGAGCCACCTAGGCGTGCTCATAGCAAACAGCTGCCTTGGAGCCATCAACTTGCTACCCATGTGCCACGTGGGAGGTCCACCCTCCTAGTCACCTGAGCAAGAAAGAGTGCTGCACAGACGAAGCTGCCTGTTGACATTGGGATGAATGAGTGGATGGAGTAAGGTGGCTGCCCGAAGCACACAGCTGTTGTCTGGTTGGGTGAGGTTTTGAGCCTAAACTAGGGGACCCCAAGTTCAACACCTGGCCAACCTTGCCAGAAGGGAAGTTCCCACAAAAGAGACCCCAGTTTTTCAAGGACAAAAATCTCACACGTTGGGCAAAGTTCTGCCTGACAGAGTGGAAAGACAGCAGCTTAGGTTGTTAGTGCCTGGGTCACTGTGTGGCGCTGGACAACTCACTTCACACCTCCTAGACTGCTCTCCATTCTGGCTGCCTGTGAGGTAGGGACTTGCTGGCTTAGGCTCAAAGCAGGAAGAGAATTTATTTTTACTGAATTATTTTGTGTCAAGTTTGACTTTTCTAATTCTATGCATATATAATTGTAGAAGGAAGTGATTAATTGGAAAACTGTATACATCAGGAAAGTAAACCCCTCCTCAGAGTATAACAAGGGTTAAAAATAATGCATGCAAGGGCTGGGAGTACAGCTCAGCAGCAGAATGCTTGTCTAGCACTCATCAGGCCCTGGGTTTAATTCCTAGTACTGAAAAAAAAAATGCAGCTCACAAAGGTACCCAGTAGGTGCTTAATACAGAAGGTAGATAAATAGGGGAGGAGGAGGTGGCAGGAGGCCAGCTTATTCCTTTGCCTGGTCCAGAGGAAAAACATGGGCTGGAGGTCAACCCTGGAATCAACTAGGGCCCCAGAGAGAGGGCAGCCTTGAACTTTCCATCCTTCAGGAGCCTTAGAAAGCTCGTCTGGCTCACAGTACTCCAGAGAAACATCCCTGGTCCTCCAGGAGGCTGCCCTGGCTAAAGGAAGCCTATTGCTATGCAGGGTCACAGGCATGGGGTTTGGACACTGATTCTGTGGACTGCAAGTCTAGGACTCGCGGTCTTCCCCGGACTGAGTAGAGAAGCTGGGTGCCTCAAAGCTGCCCTCGGGTCTCCTGGCCCCTCCCCACTGTCCCTGGAGGCCTGGGTTGGTATGGAAGTCCATTCACTTGTTCCTCAGAGATGTCCTCCTGGTTCTCAAAGGAAGCAGCTTTGCATTGCCATGGGTAGGCCTGACGAGAACTAGACCCGGAGCTATATCAAGAAGGACACGGGTATTTTACTACAGAATAATTACACTCCCCAAGGCTGCTAATTGATGAAGCTGCACACAGAAGGGAGACATACTTGATCACCATTTTCAGTCAGAATCTTGGGGCTACACTGCGGCTGATGGCCTGGGCAGGCCTCATACCCTCATAGGGTACAGGTCCTCACTCCTGAGGGTAGCAGATGACAGAAGAAAAAGAGGACAAGACTGGAGCACCAGAAGCCTCCCTGGACTAGGGGAGAGGGATTAGGGTCCAGAGAAAGATGGGAGAGGATACCAGTCTAAGAGGGTCCTGAGCACCCACTTCTGATGACAGACACTGTGCAGCAACTGCCAGGGGCTGGGAAGAGGGGTAGTACTTGCTGAAAGCCTGGAGTGAACCCTGCTAGGGCCTAGGCCCCAGCACTGGGGTCTCTGGTGGCCTGTGCTCAGAGTAGCAATGCCCTGTCAAGTCCTAGGACCACCTACATCTGTCACTGCCCCACTCAAGCCGCAGCCAGAGGGCAGTCACAAGGAACAGTGAGGTCTGTTAGACATAATCCCTGTTCAGAATACAGGACAGATAAGAGGCAGGTGACTGCTAGGAGGTAATCCCAGCACTCAGGACAGACTGTGTGTCACATCTGCCCAATGTCAGGCCTGTAAACTAAACATGCATCCAGGGACAGTGAACTCAGGGGACCAGCTGTCCAGTGACCCTAGCCCCCACCATTGTGCCACCTTCCTAACATCCTCCTTTTGCTCTCTGATCCCTTTCCTCACTCTTCAGGCAAGGACAGAACTGGCTTGACCTGTGCTGTGGCAGTGTGCCCTCCAGATATGAAGGTGGGGTGGAGACAGGCAGCCCTCCCACCTGAGGGGATGCTGTACCAAGCGCAGGAAAACTGGGATTGGGTTGGGGGCCAAATGTCGCCACATGACACTGGTTGCAGGAGAGGCCACATCTGCTCAGACCACCTGTATCAATGGAGGGTGAGGTGTAGGCCTTGACTCTGGGGGACAGAACGAAAGTCACAGCACTGTAGAGGGAAGGATGGGTACTAGATCGCCACACAGGGTTAGCTCACCCGCTCCACAAGGCCATGCTTGTGCTTCAGCTTGTACACCTTCAGTGTGGGCAGGATGCTCTCTGTGTAGCTCCTGTCTTCTAACCCGTGCAGCAGCAACCCATGGAATGCCAGCCGGCACGCGTTGGCATGGATATCCGCATCCAGCCGAGAGCCGATGACCAGGCTCAGCCGTGGGCAGGTAATGGGCTTCTCGAACTCCACAAGGGCCCACTGCTGCCGGGGGCAGTAACCTTCTGCAGCCTGGCTTGTCCGCTTGTTGGTCTCATTACTATCTACCACGGCTGATGCTGAGTCCTTGCACAGGTACTGCTCCTGGAAGAGGTACTCTTGAGAGAAGTCAAAAGAGTCCAGCACAGGCTCACGGTCAAAACTGTCGGGAGCAGGGCTGAAGAACAGCAGGCGACCCATGACCGTCTCGTGACCCACAGTGATGTGGAACTTGGCCTTGGTCTGCAGTGGCCCCCGGAAATATGAGATCTTCTCCACAGAGATGATGGCTGCATGGACAGTGTGCAGTGACTCAGGGGCACACACTAGCCCACGCTCCAGCAGCTTGGGGTCAAACTGGGTGACACAGATGCCCAGCCGGTCTCCCTGCATGGCGGTGGTGACGGGTGTGTGGAACATCTGCATGGACTTCACTTTCTTCACCACCTGACCAGGAACAAGAGGGACAGCATGAAACCAACAGGCCTCGGGGCTGAGTGGGCTCCAATGGGGACAACTCCAATCCCTATGCTTCCTAATACCCACCTGGCACCTGGCCTGGGGAGAGGACACAGGGCCAACCAGCTGAAAGGAGGCTAGGGGCCCACCCCTACTCTCACTAGATAGAGTGGGCATCACCCTAAAGACCCAAGATGCAGAACTGCCCTCAAGGTTGCCAGTCCTCACTCTGGGCCACCTTCATCTCTCCCTCCACCTGGTCCTGCATCCATTCAGTCCCTCCGGCTTTCCTAACTTTCTGCACAAGCACTGCCACCCAGCCCAGCCTCTCATGTCCCCAGCCTGCCAACCTGTACTCCTGCCCCGTAAAGTCTAGGTTAGGCACTACTTTGCAAAGTCCAGGTCCCAGTGGGCAGGATTGGTCCCTGTCTGTAGTGGCCCCCATCTCTTTTGAAGACACAGCCTACAGCAAGTCTCTGGTGTACATCTCTGGTGTACATCTATGGCCTGCCTGCTGGCCTCTACACTGCCTGGTGATGGGGTCCCTCTCCAGCTGCACCACCCATGTTCCCCAAGGACCTGCTATGGGTGTTGAGCCAGCCCTGTTCCAGGGGAAGGAACAGAGCAAGCTTGGATCCTGAGAGCTTAATAACTAGAAGCTGACAACAAAGTGATACTGAGAGGAAAAATTATATATATTGTAATATGAATTCATATCAATAACAATTATCTAACATGTAGTATGGATAGCATACACCATGAGAGAACAGCTCAGGACGTGCCACGGAATGGGCCTATGGCCTGGGCATGTTGGCATCTGGCATCTGTGGACAGTGGGGGAGGTGACATCTGGGCTAAGACTTGCAAATATGCAGCAGCAGTTCCTGGGAACTCACAGCAAAGGGACTTTGAAGGGGACAAACCAACAAGGGCCAGGCATGAGGTGGGAGAAGTTTGCTAAGGCCAAGAAATAAAGAGGCAAGAGGGTTAGGGTTAGGTCAGGGGGAGGTGCAGGGGAGGTCAAGGCTTGTGTGCCTGTGCAGCCCCATGTAGGGCTGCCCAGAAGTCACCCAGGAGTTTAGGCAGAAGGGAACCTGATCTTATCTTGGTTTCTGCAAGATAACACTGATGATGGCACCTGGCAGATTTTGGCTTTTGCAGTTCAAAAATCAGGAACAGACACAGAAAAGCCCCTAAAAAACACTCATGAAGTGGATGAGCATTCCAAATGTGATCTGCTCTGGGATGAAGTACTATTTCTACAGGTTTCTGTTTAACAAAGCAGAGGAGTATAACTTACTTCAGAAATCTGCCACCCAAATCTGAAACCAGAGGGCATCCTAATGTTCCAGCTGGCAGTATCCGCAGCACACACCCTTTCTCCCGGGTGCTGGGCCCAGCATGCTCAGGGTAACTAGCTGGGGACTTTTGAGATCCATCATGCTCCAATGTTTATTTAAAGATCATTAATGACCTATTCTAGAGGCCAGAGGGCAGGAAAAGTGAGAAGCACAGTGTCAAAAGCCACAGCCAAGATCAATCAAACAGAAACATAAAACATCTCTGAGATAGTCTGTCAAGGCATGGGTACACATGACTTTCAGGAATGTGACGCAGAGCAACTGGAGAATATCACCTTACGCAAAGTGTGTCTGTCATAGAAGGCAGCCTGGCCTCTCTCCCTGTACCCCTACCTAAAAAGTGTACCTTTGTCATCACCTCCGGTCTCATCTTCTATCTCATGACCCTCATCCTCTTTGATCATAGCTTTTAGGAGTAGGAAGATCCCTGGATCACATGACATTCTTTGAGGACCTTGGAACCCCTCTGTCACCCAGCAAGCAACTCCACAGGCCTGGCCTTTTCTTGCCTCCAGTGCCGCCTTCCTGCCCTACAAGTTTGCCATCTCTTAGGCTATAGGCTGTGGACACTGGGACTAAGTCCTGTTCACAATGTGGTTCTGTCTCCGTGCTCTGGCTCTCTGAGCAACTTCTTGGCAGACCCATGTCCATCTCTAACCCCAGCATCACAGCCCCTCTGGGAAGGACTTCCCTGCCACTCCAGGCCTAGTCAGCCACTCTGACCTGACCTCTCACACTGCCAGCCTGTTTACAGGTCTCTGCAATTACAACACAGTGAACCCCTGCAAGTCCTCATCCACCCCAGGGCTTCAAACACTACTCACTACTGACACCTGCCTGTGTGTTCTCCCACTGCCTGGAACTGCGGTACTTTCTTTTTATATATGAGTTTGGTGTATAGAGGCTCAAAACATATATAGCACATATGCTGAGCCAATAATTCATGGTGGTGTGGGTTTCAGTGCTTTCTGCAAGGGTCACATTGCAGTTGTGACACTGAAGATATCTGAAGCTCACCACTGCAGATGATGACTGGTACAATCCAGGCTCTATCACTGTACATCAGGGGCATTTCCAGGTCTGCTCTCGGCAACCTGGGATGAATTTGGGCTCTCCTGAGAACCTGACCTGGGGCAGGCCTGGAGCAGGGCTGCGGGATCAGGGAAGCAAAATGAGCTTTTGCCATCTGGGCACCTGAGGCCATTGCTACCAACACTTGACAGTACAAGACTGACATGTCTACCTATCAAATTTGTGTCTCTCCTAACCCAGAGACAGGGCCAGGGTACAACTTCTTTTTGCATTCTTGGTGCTCACACAGCGGCTCCCCAGGAGACATCCCACTGTGACGGGCCCTTCCAAAGAAGGCATCCCATTGTTCCAGAAAAGGGAAAGACGCCTCAAGGTACTGTCATATCTGGTCTGATCCAAGCTGGGACCTCAATCCTGCTGGGTGGAGCATGCTATTTATGAGTCATCCTGTACCCTTGAGGCTGGTCCACCAGCTAGCCCCCACTGCCCAGTTTTATTTCAAGCCTGTTCCCCTATCAACGGACCTTGTGTGCTTAGGACTAGAATAATAAAGAAGCCGTGTGGGGGTACCGTGAAGAGCAGACAAATAACTGTGCAGATCAAGATTTTAAGGGCCTAGACAGGAAATTATGAAGCAGATAGAGTTGGGGAACAGGCCGGCAGGGCACTCCTGTGGGCTCTCATAGGGTGAACACAGCATCGCCAGTGACCCTTTGAGACATAGGGACATAGAGACTGAAAAACTGGCTTAGCACATTACAAAAGAGGAAAGTGGAAAGCCTGAGAGTGGGGAAAACAGACTTCTTTTAGTTTGTTTATATTTTTGTTTTTTTAAGCTAACTTTGAGAGACTCTGTCTATAATTGATGACTCAGTCTTTGGAAAGGCTGAGACAGAGAACATGTGTCCACTCAACATACTTAATTCCTCTGCATGCCAGGCCAGGTTAGGACACAAGGACAGCAAAGCAGCATGGTCTCCTGAATGCCCTGCCGGGGGGGACAACAGGTACTAACAGAACCATCAACTAATAAAATGTAGAACTGTGGAGCTGTGGGAGATTCTCTGAGAAAAACAAGCAGGAGCTTTGACAGAGAACGACTTGGGGCCTAATTCATCCTGGATGGCTAAAGAGGGCCTCCTTGAAGAGGTAGGTTGGAACCCAGGCCAGGTGGAGGAGGAGAAGCCATGCACAGGGACAGAGAGATGAACAGAGTATGCTGGGAAGAGGGTAGCAGGGCTGGCTGTGGCCAGGGTGGGTGATACCCACTAAGGGAAAGAGCAATGGGTAGCTGAGTATGGGTCCAGAATGACGTTTTCTACTTTGTATTGTTAGAAGATCGCTCCTACTATACAGAGTGGGAAACAGATGGAGAAATAAGAAAGGAAAGAGGGAAACTGGGAAGGAGGACCTCCAGTCGGGCAGGGGAGGAAGAGGAGCGCACAGGAAGACTCCTGGTCTCCAGCAGGCACAGAGAAGCAGGGTGCTGGGCAGAGCTGTGAGCTCTGCAAAGGAGAAGCTCTTCTCAGCTGTGGAATAGGGGTGGCCGGGGGAGGGGGCCACTGAAGCCACATTCCATAAAGGGGAGTTGGTGTGGGGAGCATGTAGCCTCACAGCTTCCTCAGATGGCCCCTCTCATCTCTGGTGTCTGACAAATGGCCGCTCAGTGCTCCTAATACTCAAGTGAAAATTTGAGTTGCAGCCTGCTCTCCTCGCCCTCTTGCCACTGTATTCCAGGCATCGGGTCCTGGGAAACAGGCCTAGTGCCTGGCCCCCTTCTACACTCTCCCTTGCCAGCTTGTCCTGGGTTGCTGCCCCACACCTGTTGTCTCCTCTCTACATAGGATGCCATGCCAGGAAAACTGCTACCCTCACTGTGACTCCCACCTGCCCTGTCTTTTCTCTGTATTTGCTGGTAGGGGTCATCCCTATCCTCACTCCCTGCTGCTCAGGTCTCTTCTGTCAATGGGTCTTCTTGCTTCCTTTTCTCTAAAGATGCTGGGTACACTTGTGCCCTGGAGCCTTTACACTCACCAGCTCCTTTGCAGGTGATGATCTTCCCCAAAATACCCACATCTCCCCCTGGCTTCCTTAAAGTCTCTGCTTTTAAGTCATTTAATTAGGGTCTGCCACTGATCTCCCAAAGAGCACTCCACATCACCATTGCTATCTTTTTGCCTTATTTTTTCCTTGCAGCATTTACCAGCACTCAAATTCCGTATCTCTTCATTGTCCATGAGGACAGGAACTTTGTTTTCTGTTGCTTTCCTGCCTCCTTCCTCATGCCCATACCATGCTGGCATATAGCAGCTGTGTGTGGGTACAGCCCATGGTACCTCATCAGGCTCCGGGACTCCATCTTCTAGGCCCAAGAACAACTGCCCTCCAGGATCAGGGATGTGAGCTGGCTCCCTGGCAGGGGCTACAGAGGTCTGGGTAGCAGGACGACTGGCGCCTGCTGAGCTTGGGACCCCCAGGGAGGCCTAGGCCATGGGCTCAGCTCCTCCCAGCTTCCTGTCTCCGACAGTGAGAAGGGAGGCCTGGACACCGGGAAGTAACAAGCAACAGAGGAATACATCAAGTGAGCAAACAATT